TTTAGTAATGTTTTAATATAGTTTTAATTTACTGTAGCGTATTTGTATGGTGAACGAACGGACAGGACATCAGCTTAGTTACTTTCTCTTTATTTTCTCTTTACTTTAATACATTTTTTGTCTATTTTTGTCTAAAATTTTTTTATCCAATCAATCCAAGGGGGGGGGGGGGGGCAAGTGCCCCCCTTGAGCCCCCCTGCGGGCGCCCATGTATACAAGTATTATTATAAACAATTAATTTAAATTCATGTAATATAAATTATTTGACCTTTGTGGTGCAAATTTAAGCTAAAAACATAGAAACAACAAACTGAAAAATATGATGATTCACAGGTTAGATTATCCAAAACAGATTTAATACTTGGTCAGAGTCGACATCATAAGATCTTGTAATTTTTTAAATCAATGAAATGATAAATTAAATAAATTACATACAAAAATGGCAGGCCTACATTAACATTATTTTGTAGATTGAAATTTGACATCCCTAGAAACTAAGTCCTCTATTATATGGAGTGGCGCATCTAGGCAGTAGAAGTGGGTGAATGCCATGGGGGCACGTTTGGAGTTTATATTAAACATTATATGGGTGGATGGAACTCATTAACCTTGGATGGCAACTCATCTAAGAGAAGAAAACTCTGAAATCAAACCCGGAGATGGACTCCCGAAAGGGGGATAACATTGATACAATGAAACATTCCAACAACTCCTGCGAGGCCACTGGTGCCAAGCTGTATCATCCAATGTTCCCTTGGGTTATCCAGCGGCGTGGAGCGAGGTGATTTGCTGTTGGGAACTAGTTTATAATCCTTGAAGAATAATCCCAGGCCATGTGGATTTCATCCTCCGAAGCCCACTCCATCGTCACATTGTGACGGACGGATGCCAGTAAAAAAAATTTTAAATATATATATATATATATATAAATATATAAATGAAGTATCTATGCAGAATGAGGGCGCACATTTGTCAAGCTCCACAAAGATAGTTAATGACTGTTTAAAAAAAAAATCATACAAATTTGTTTGAAGAAAAATAGACTTTTTATTTAATGATACTTATGAAAATAAAAATTAGCACATCGCGTTTGTTCGTGGGTGGTTGAAATTTGACATCCCTAGAAACTAAGTCCTCTATTATATGGAGTGGCGCATCTAGGCAGTAGAAGTGGGTGAATGCCATGGGGGCACGTTTGGGGTTTATATTAAACATTATATGGGTGGATTTGTCAAGCTCCACAAAGATAGTTAATGACTGTTTAAAAAAAAATCATATAAATTTGTTTGAAGAAAAATATACTTTTTATTTAATGATACTTATGAAAATAAAAATTAGTACATCAGTCACATTGAGAATGTTTTCAGAATCAAAGCTTGCTGTTAATATTTTAATTCAAAATTCACAAATAGAAATTTTAATTGGAACAATTAAAAAAATTCAAAATGAGCATCTCTGGAATTCTATGAATCTAACAGCTTTGATAATCACACTGTTAATTATTTCTAAATGTACATTCTGATTGTTATTTTGCTCTTAGAAATAAAAAAAAGCCATTTTTTAAACAATATTTGTTTTACAAAACAGGGTTTTCTGACATGTTCATGGCAGTTTGTTAAAATAAAGTCATTTGAATTATATGGATTGCACAAAAATGATATTCTCCTAAAATAAAATTTTTGCCCAAAAATAGTGACAAGCTGGTAAAAATGTCTCTAAAAGAAGTGGACACTTTTTGTGAATTGTGACCTAATGAATCATGTCATTACTGATTACTAAAAATATTCCACTAGAGTTTTTTGTTTCCTTCAGGGTTTTCCAATCAGGGGCTATGAGAAGGCATTTAGGGGGTGCCAGGAGAGGGGCTTTAAGAACAGAGGATACATTAGCCATTAGCTTTTATATTATGTTATAGATGTCTATATATTTTTAATATTTCTTCATTAACATTTTCAGTAATATTTTTTAAGCTCTACAGTTCTCTTTGCAATTCAATAAATAAAATAGCAGGCAATTATTTTCAAATGTTAAAATTTACTGCTATGTTTGTAGATAGTGCGGCCATGAGCAAATTAATTTTTGTATGGTGCGCAAAGTATACAAAAGGTTGGGAAACACTGTGGCTTAAGATCAATGTGAAATGTTTTATTTGTGTAAAACACTGTATAAATAAAGTAGTTCATTGATACATTGAGATCTGAGAAGTCATAAAATAAAATAATATTTAACACTGAAATAAGTTTTAAAATAAAATAATGTATGTATTTATTTATTATTGCACATAACTTTAACAGATCTGTATTAAAAAAATTGCACACCTGGGACCTTTGAGTAAATAAAACTAAAACAAAAGCACATAAATAGAATGTTTAGAAAATATTTTTATCTGTTATATTCTCTCCAGGGCAGAAAATTTCGTTGTTATGGATAATAAATTTATGTTAAGGTATATAATTTTTTTTTAATTTGTACATTATAACGTTATTTTAATTCCTATAACAAAATAAAATTGAATCTCGAAACAAACTAATTTTTATAAAAACATTAATTTTAAACTGGAATGCCAATTTATTAATTATTTTGGCAGCATTACGGATACAATTTTATACAGTCCATAAAGATAAAAGTAATTAATTTATAATTTTTTTGCTTCACAAAAAAATATTTAATAAAAATATAAATATAAAATAATCAAAGAAATCAAACAAGACATAGATAAAGCCATTCTAATATAATTTTTTTTTAAAATAAGGGAAATTAATTTTATTTTGGAATAGGTGAATGTATTTTTAGTCTATAATCACAATATTATTAATTTCTACGCCTTTTAAAACATATATTAATTTTCTGCTGTTTAAACAATCAAATAGTTCTCCTCAACCTTATTGGAACATTATTGGAAAAATTAGTGCTGCAAATAAAGTATGAGATAGATATAACTCACAATATCAAACTGCGCTACTGGACAGATTGCTGAGTCAAAAAAATTTTGTTTGAGTTGAATAACATACCAAATAAAAAAAAATATGGAAGATAATGACATAAAATAATTATCACAGCATTAATTAAGAATGTTTATTTTAAAAAATGTGTTATTCAAGTTTAAAGATCCCTAGTTCTGAACACTTTTAGATTGAAATAGATCAACTGGGGCTCATGTGTAACATAATATAGCCGTGCAATTTTTATTAACTATTTAAATCTATTAATGGTCCTGCATCTGGCTCTTTAATATAGAAGAAGAAAGCTGAATTGCCTCCGGTCAAAAATTCATAAAATATTTTTATGACTGCAGTGAGTATTGATAGTCATGAGTAGGTTGAAATATTTATTTAAAAAATTGATATTACTTTACGATACAGCCCTCTTCTGTCCTGTGTCAAGTTGTTGAAAATGCCATTTTATGAAACAGAATTTAAAAAAAAAGCAAGTTTAAAACAGTAAAAGAGTATTTTATCCTTAGAGACCATCCATTAATGATGTCCCACCCTCTCCCAGCCCTATTGTACACAAATTTGACCTAAAGTTTAGACCCTTATAATACATCTTTTACAAATCTGTGCCCCCACCCCTCCCCTCCCTAAGATGTGTGACATCACTTATGGATGGTCCCTAATACATTTATTGTTGAATTCTAAAGTATTATTGGGTAATTTTGACAGTGTAAATATGATGTCAGTCAAAAGCTGTCATATGTTTTTCTTTGGATATATTGAATGATGACTCCCATGAAAGTGGCTTGAATTTCTTTGAGTAATTTTATAAATTTAGACTTTATCTTAACTTATATTATCTATTGATGTTAAAAATTAAGAGACAAAGTCATAATGATTCGTAAAAAAAAAAAAAGGAAACACTGCAACATACCACATAAAATTAAAATGGTTAATATAATTTGCATTTTATTTAAATATATTCAATGAGGAACAATGTACACTTTTCTTTGAGTAATTTTATAAATTTAGACTTTATCTTAACTTATATTATTTATTGATGTTAAAAATTAATAGACAAAGTCATAATGATTCGTAAAAAAAAAAAAAGGAAACACTGCAACATACCACATAAAATTAAAATGGTTAATATAATTTGCATTTTATTTAAATATATTCAATGAGGAACAATGTACACAACACGGTCTTATTCTAAAGTAATATTCTTATTGCTGTTCTTCGGTTCTTTTTACAAACATGTCGTTGGACTGTTAAAGTAACTTGTTCTCCAAATGTACAATACTAGAGCGATTCCTCTTTGATTAATTATTCTTTACCATATAATCAACACTTATACACACAAAACATGGTATATAAAATGTTTGGTTTTATTGGAGGAAGGTAAACACTAATAGCAGTTTTTATATCATTGAACCCGAAAGTTACCAGAGAGGGTTTCTTTAGTTAAACTATTGCACCGAATGGCAAAAGAAACAACTTTTATCACAAGACATAAATAATAAACAAGTATCAAATAACTTCAAATTTCGACAAAATTTAAATTTTTATACAAATTAAATACTAATATTGCAACTCTCTTCTGTCAGGTTCGCCAAAACACTTCATAGAAAAACTGCAAAAAGTTCAAAACTCAGCTGCTAGGTTAGTTCTAAGGCAAAGAAATGTGTTCACGTACCTCCACTACTCACTCACTTCATTGGCTCCCTTTACACAACTGTCGCAACTTTTTCTCTGGATCATGCCTTTCATATCTTACTGAACGTCTTTCTGTCTATTCACCCCTTCGACAGATTCATTCCTCCTCAGACACGCATATTTTTTCTGTTTCCAACATACGGTGAAAGATATTTCTCTTTCTGAACCCCCCAAACAATGGTACTCTCTCCCATTAAACATCCGCAATATATCGACCATCCAAGCCTTCAAAACTGCACTCAAGACACAGCTCTTCAAACTCTACTCCTACGACTCATTCTCACCCCCATCTGACCAATAAATAATGCTTGATGCTGCTGGTTGCCGTCCATGGCTAGAAAGGGGTCAATAGTACTTGGGTGGGCAAGGTCAATATTTTTACTCAGCTGTTTTTTTTAATGAATAATTCTATGTAACTGGTTTTTAATTCCATGTTTCTTTTTTCTTTTCGCTAATTTTTATGCAAAGCGCTGTGAGCTTAGCCCTAGGCTGGGGTACAGCTCTATATAAGACCCCTTTAATAATAATTTAACAAATGGACTCTTACTCGGTATTTAAGATTTAAATGCTCAGCTTGGATAAGGGGCAATAATTAAAGCATATCATGTGTCCTGGGTCAATAAACTATCTATCCCAGCTGCCCATCCATAGGTGAAATGGGGTGGGTTGGTAGAAAGCTTAGTTAAAACACCATCACATCCCCTAATTTGTAATTGAGGATCCTAAGGAAACATGACAGAAAGACCACATCATAGCATGCCCTGCTATGGTTTTGCATGAAATCAGGGACTAGCTTTATGGAGAATGCATCTGCCCGGCCGTAATAAGGTTTTCAGCCTCTGACTATGGATTTCCGAAAGTATTAGCTTTAAGTCTATGAATAATAATTATATATGAAAAACAATTTTTAAAAAAATAATTAAAATGTGCATATTCTCAAGACTATTTAATAAAACAATAACTGCAACTTTTTTTTACATTTAAAAAAAACAACAACAATATATTCAGTTGCCAGCAAAAGCTCCAGTAAGATCAATTTTATTGTACAACCTGGTGCCCCAAAAAAAGAAGAAAGATAAGCAGTGCTGGCCAAGGTACAGGGTAAGTGGAATAACCAAACACATTGGGATCAAATTTGAAACAGTCAGCACTTTCTGCTACTTCAAAATTTTGTGCAGCACAAAATGCAGTTCCGTTAGTGTAGGCTTCACCTGTTGAATAATATTGTATTCATTAATTTTAAATAAACTACTGAAATCGTAGACTATCTTGGAAAGGCAATTTTTTAAAAGCAATTTTGTGCATAGCTTCAAATTTTAAAACTGGATAGCATAATTTTTTGTATGTGTAATTGGCATTCAGCATTTCATGATTAAGATATTCCATAAATTACCTGTAAACGTTAAAATTAGAATGTCAAGGCAATATCTGATTTTTAATTTTCAGTGAAATCTATCAATAAATAAATAATTTGTTCATTATTATATTCAAGACATAGAAATTAGAGAGGTTAAAAGGCAGAGCAGTGACACTAACAGATGTAGCTCCTACATGTGTATCACGAAGGTGAAATAGCTCTAGGGACATAACTTTGACTCAAATATTATTCAGTGTCGATGAATACATTTTTAAGCAATTTTTTCTGCAAAATATGTTTTCCAATACTAACAATTTTAAAAGCAAAACCAAAAGTTAAATGTCTTTTCAAAATTATGTATTTGTCAGTCAAAATTTTTTTTTAAACTTTAAAAAAAAAAAAAAGTTAAATTAGAATCCTTTGAGTTAAATGATATGACATAAAATCTCTGGGGAAAAAACTAAAACAAACAACTTAGGAAAAAGAAATTTCATGTCGAAAGAAAACTTGTTCAAGGAAGGATATACAATTTTGTTCAGTGTACTTACAAACTTACCAATTAATGTTTTATTAAAACCAGCTGACTTGCATTCTTCATAAAGTGATTCACAATATTCCAGACACACAGAAACTTTTCTGAAATTGATGGAGTATATTTTAGACTCCATTAAAAACCATGCGCTGATCAAGCTGATTTAGGTTACTGTGATGAAACGGATGGGATGCATATAGGTATCATCCAAAATTTTGTATGTTCTACAAATAGTTCTTCAAGTGAAGTATGTTAATTTCATGTGTTATTATTAGCTTTTTTGATTAGTCTATTTAATTGCTGTTTGAGTCAGACGATGAATTCCCACACAAGCAGATAATACTGAAGTTTAGTAGGGTTCCAATTGTTGTATTATATAAAAAGTTAATAACTTGTTTGCTTACGCCAAAAAGGTACAACTTTTAATACATAAAAGTCTTTGGTTGATACTTTTATACAGAATTAGGCCTGGTTCATGCCATGATCAGTGACAACTTATTATTAATGGTGACCTCTAGGTACTAATATGTCTCTACTTGCTCTATAGTGTCATTTTTTTATTCTGAGATTTAGGTAAAGAGATATCTTTATAGATTAATAGAAAATTTTTAAATTATAATATTATTTTTTTCCTGGAGGTTGAAATTAGGAAGAATGATTGACATAAAATCGATGACTTTCACCCCTGGATTACAGATTGCAAGTAAAAGTGAATAATAATAATAATAATAGAGTTTATTTGAAAAACATGCTTCATCCCCAAAAGCTCGAAGCGTTGTACAGAGTCCACCATATAAAAAAAAATAAAAATATTAAAAAAAATTGAAAATTTCTCGCTTACTTATTTGCTTTGAAGAACTTGTGTTGGTCAGGACTGCAGAAGAAGCACATCAAATAGTTGATATAATTTCGACACAAAACTGATGCACCGTACAAGGGATCCATAGCTGAAAACACAGATGTCACCTCTGTTCGTTTACAACAAGCTTTTGATGTGTACCAGGTACAATTAACCAAACCTCCTTCATATGCTGGAAACCGATTGCTGTCTGTTGAATGATAAGGTGATGTTAAAACTTACCTTAAATTGTTAAATTTTGAAAAAATTAAAAAAATGTTTATGAATTATGTGATTATTTGAATTTCATACGTAAGAAATTTTAACCCTTCTAGTACTGACCTACGTTTTTGCTATGTATAGCCTCAGTACCGACTATACATAATTTGTTTTGTTCACACTTTTCATTGGCAATGGCACACTGGGGGATTATAAGGAGTTTTAGGAGATATGGGGGCCTCTTTGTTCCACCACTCCAGTCAATCTTCATCTAAATCAATACCTGTGTTTGAGCTATTTCGAACTATAGTAGACCTACTTCCTTTCATCCCCCTCTTTCTCATCAGCATTAGAATCATCTAATCCCAATAAAAGCTCAATAATAGTTTCCAGAACAAAAGGTTTCATCAAGTAGGAGTAAGTCTTAATCAACAAAATCGCTAGGTAGCGTCATGGAAACAACAAATACAAATCAGCACAAAAAAAAACTCAGTAATTGGTCAAATTTCATAATTTAAAAGCCAAAATAAAATTCGACTATTCCTCTAACTAATAAACATTCTGCTCTGAAAGGTTTTATCCTCATTTTTTTTTTTATATTAGATACCCCTCTATGTGGCAAATAGACGCGCTTGAGCCACAGGGAAAAAGGTAGGTCACTGCAAAAAGACGCGCAGGGTGCTGTAAGGGGTAAAATAATTTTTTTCTTTGTCTTATATTTATGTGTCAAAACTTATAGTTATAGTGCTTAAATTATATTTGCATGAATTCTAGCATTCAGCATATGTCTTTTCCTTTAATTTTGTGAATGTTTCACTTTTAGTGTCATTTAAATGAAAAAATTATTTTTCATCAAAATTATTAAATTTGTGTCCTTTATTTCCTCTAGTTTTGGATACATATATATATATATATATATATATATATATATATATATGTATATATAAATTCAGTTTAGAGACGTTAAAATTGACTTAAAAGTAGTAATTTGTGTAAAATGCAATTTTTTCTCGTGCATTGGTGCTGTAATATACATAATAAATACTCAACTAGAAAGAGCATTGCTTCTAACTGCTATCTTGTATCTCCTTCTAGTTATATTATGAGCCTTTTTTAAAATGATTTAAGCATACTAAAATAAGTATATCCCAACTGTTATTTTATATTAAGATGATTTAGTAGAACTCTGAAAACATTTTGAGGAAAAAGGAGGCCAGTGTTTCACAAACTTTTTTTGTCCTTGGCTCAGTTATTTTGATATTTATTCTCCTGTGCCCACTAAAATGTTTTATAATTTATACTGACCTATGACAAAACAGATGTGAATGTCAATACCGTTTTCATATAATATAACATAACTTATAACCAATTACCCTTTAAACAATTTAGATTATTTAAACTATAACCTGATGAAGTGTGGTATTATTGTTTTTCTTGTTGGATTTTAAGTTTTGAGGAAAGTTTGATAGTTTTAATCTTAGGGATCATTCAAAAAGAACATCTTTAATTAATAATCATCTTTTTGACAATCCATCCCCCCTTGTCCCCCTTTTGCATACCCTCCTAAAACCCCATGTTGCAAATGTCCACATACAGCATATACAGAACCAAATGCCAGAGAATTTAATGAAGAAATTATTTAATGAATATAAATTATAAAGAGTAAATAGTCACTACATTTAAACTTCTTAATAAGTCTGATAGTACAAACCATTATATTAAATTCAATCAGAACTGAGAACTAGAGTCAAAAAATCAAAAGCTCATACTTGCTTTGTTTAAATTTATTAATAATTTGCTTGTAACCATATATATATATATAGAATGATCTCACTTATGAAGTTTTCACTACTCTGGCTTCTTAGTTAGTAGTTTAATTTTATCCTTTTTTTGAGAACTGCAAATGTATCAGTCACAGAGGATGTCCAGAATTTAAAAAGGTTAAACATAGTGGAACATGGGCAGTGGGTCTAAAGCAGTATAACTAAATAGCCTTTGAATACTCCCTCAACAATTTGCAAATCTGAGATGTCCATTATGAATGACCTCTTATTGTTTCCAATAAGTTTCTATCTTTATATTTTATGCAAACTTGTGCTGAAAGTTGTGAAAGTCCGCTTTACACAATTTTTGACTACAATGGCATGACTGGCATGAGAAACGTAATATCTCATTTTCTACTAAAACAGGTAACAGGGTATTCCTGTAATTATAAAAAAAACTGAAATAAACTATTCAGCTGTTGTTTTTTTTTTTCAGATGGAGAATTTCTTCGACAGCAGGGGTGCAAACTGATTAAAAAGACAGCCTATAAAAAGTTGACCAAAAATGACTTGTCTGTAAATGTCCATAAGCCATAAGGATGTCTGTATATAAATGAGATATTGCACATACATTTTTTAAAGCAAAAGGAGAGAGTACATTTCATTCAATCAATCAAACAGGCCCAGTAAATTGTAAGTAATAAATTTAAATAGTATTAAGTATTAATAATAATAATAGTATAGATTTAGTAAGCCTAGTTTAATTACTTACAAAAAAATGTGCACTTATGTCTTTTCTCTTCATATTTAGATTTCTCACGATATATAACTCCTCCTTCTGTATCCAAAACCTCTTCAAATTCACTTTCAACTTCTGGCTGCGCGGGATTTACTGATTTGCTACAAATTCGTTTGTTGCCATCGTCTGCAGCATCTATTTCGACCACTGCTATAATATTAATGGTAATTGACCAGGCAATTATAATTGATAAAAAACAAGGTGAAAATACAACTTTTCCTCGTTTGCAATACGAATGAAAACTTACTAAATTTCTCATTGTATATGATTATATATTAAATTAAATTAAGTTTCATTGAATTGGTGTTCTATCTTTTGAGTCGATAATGTTGATGAGCTAGTCCGGAAGTAAGGAGTTGTTTATCTTGGAGATGATCATTTTACTTATTTTCAAATTTAATTTAAAAGAGAGTTAAATTTTATTTAGCGCTTATGGCGTTCTTTTAAGAGTGTCTTTATTTGAAATGACAAATAAATTTTCAATGAAAGGCATTGTTTTACACTCTATTATTAATACCCGGTAATAAATATGTCCAACCTTTTAACTATTGATAGGGGGAATTTCAGATATTCGGGGTGGGATTCGGGGGTGGGAGATGCAGTGCCAGAGTCCAGAGCTAAGGCTAAGGGATGGCAGATGGGACAGACGTCGCCGGGAGTCAGAATAACAGGGACGTCAAAATGGACTTTGGTGGGGTTTAATGGTTGAAAAATAATGTTTTTCAGAGGGGAGGGGGATTAAATATGAATCGTGTCCTCTGACGACAAACACTCTAGCTACGCCCCTGTCAGTGGCGAAGAAAGGATATGAATGGATTGGTTCGCCAAGGGGTCACTTTTTTCTTTAGATGGAGGTGCGGCGTTTTTTGGACAACAGCCGAGTTTGTATCGTGAGAGGGAGAGCTGCAAACTCTTTGACTGCCCATGGCGCAACTAATACTAGCTACGCCACTGACTTTGTATCTGTTGACACTAAAATTGGAAATCATTGAGGAGTTCGGCAGAAATCTAGGGCGCCGATGAATCTTGAGCGGAGGAGGGGTTTGGGGAGCCTTCTCCATTAATGTTTAACCCTATATTACACAATTTTAGGCTTTTATGGACAAAAATCTGATTGCATACTTTATATGTATTGGAATTATATCAACATAATATGCACACACACACAAATACAAACTTTTTAAAAATAATATAATTATTTTAGTGGTATGTTGCCACATGGCAACAGTGTGTCTAAAGGGTAAAGAAAGGTAAAACTGAACCAAAAAAGAGAATCTGATAACAACATTATTTTTGAAAGATGAATATTTAATAGTCTACACAAATAATTGTAATCAATGCTTTGCTTATAGGCAGATCTTCATATTAAGCTTTTATATCATGAAAATGATAATTGTAAGCATCATATTTCTATAAGCATTTTATACCAAAAAATATAGAAAAATCAAGTCATCAAAAATATATAATTATACATATAGGCAGGACAGTAAATATTTATGTACATATGTAAAGTGCAGATTTAAGGCCGGTGGAACTGTTTGAAGCAGTTTGAATTTTGTGTTAAGCAAAGGTGAACATTACATTTTTCACAGTTTATTCTTGAAAATCTTTTGCAACCTGATCTCTTTGCATCTTCCTTTGTTTTCAAGTGGCTCGGGAAAGTGCCCAATATAATCAGCTCTTACTGGTAAAGGTGAAACAGCTGCATTAGGACCTCTCAGTTTTTTTGGCTACAAGTTGAGGCTATATACAGGGTGGGCAAATAAAAGTGAGAACATCTCGTAAAATATTACGCTACGAAGTGTTCTCACTTTTATTTTCCCACCCTGTATCCAATGAGGGACGGCCACGTTTCCTACTAAACCCTGATTTACCTTCTTTCATTAGGCATCTTGCGATCTGGGTCTTAAAATCAAGTAGAGCGAGGATATTTTTAAAAAAATCCCAAACAGCATTAGCATTATCAGCCCTATAGAACAGCCCTGCATGTACAACTGTCATATCCAGAAAGTGAAAGATGATACGGTGCTACTATTTTTTGGACCTTACTGGGAACCTGTATAAGGCCAAAAGTGAATCGAGAAGATCCACACCACCCATGGATTTATTGAAAATAGAGAGGTACATTTTGGAGCATGCTTTGTATCAATTAGATATTTTTAAGTGGGAAAGAAAATTCTTAAGGGTCTGGGGAGGAACAAGGGCGCCCAGTGGCAAACATTAACTGAATTCACTCCCCATACTATAAAATTAATCAACGTGGGTGGAAGGGTGCAGAAATTGAGGATGTTGAGGCAGTCGGACAAATTCAAAATACAGTGTTGCATTTTGGCGCATACTTGAATTCAGTGTTTCTTTCAGACAATTTTGAGGTAGCATTTAAAAACTTTGGGTGAAAAGCGCCCAAATTAACCATAATAATGATCAAAGACATATCTAACTCCTCACCAGTGGGACATAAACTGAATTCATTACAAGTTATTTTGTCATTGATCGTATGCTTTTACCCTAGCTTATTGTATATCTTAATAGTCCCCAGAAAATTTTGATAAATTCGAAATACAAGAATGTCTTTTAGTACATATCTGAATTTAGTTTTGCAACATTCTACACTTGATTGGAGATCCAAGGAAGAAACACTAGTTAAAACATTGTAGGTGTTACTTAATTAACCCTTGAATCATTGTGTGAGCCCAGCAACACCAGCGATGTAGAGGCCTCAGATATTTTAGGGGCTTAAAGGTGTGATGTGGACACTTTTTTTATCAACTTTCAATACAAATAAGGGAAAGACAAAACCGAAAATTTACAAGGGGTCTCAAAAATTCAAACGACGGCTCTGCTTGACGTCCTTGTGTTATGCAAATATTTTTTATATTACTAAATAGTAATGCGACTTTTATTTCTTATTTAAACAATTTTGTGGGTTAATTAATTAATTAATTAATTTCAAATCGTAAAATAAGGTTTCCTTCACAGTAAAGTACTGCTAGATCGTTTTACAGGTTGAACGCAAATGAAAAAAAAAAAAAAACTCTTACGTATAATAATTATTTTTTCTAAAGATTTCCATGTTTTACTAGTTAAACAGGCAAAAAAAAAAAGTTCATTAGAAAGGTCTATATATTTTATGGGTTTTCAAAACTGGTCCTTTTTATAAAATTAAATAAATGAATGGCATAATTATGTTATGAAGACATGAGTTGTTTACAAAAGACATTATATTTATCAATGTGTGATTAAACTGAGCCAATTACAAGTTCATGGTCTGGAGTTTAATCCCCACCAAAGCCAAGTCAAGCAAAAAACTTCACCAGCAGGATTTTCAAGAATTTCTTATATTTATGGATGCTGACTATTGGGGACATCATTTACATTTTGAAAATGTAATGGTTTAGTCAAGGTAAAATTGTAAAGATTTTGCTAGTTGTCAAATGAAATCAAATCATTAAGGAATCAATTTTTTTTTTAAATGTGCCAGAACATAAAGATGAAATGGGGACGTTTTAGAAGATAATACCACTCATTTTAATGAGTTAACCATGCGCCTTCAAAGTAAAAACCAACTAATCAATGGTCTTGTTAAAAATAAAAAAAGATTTTGAAATGGAAATAAAATAATGGATAACTGAAATTAAGGAAAATAATTTTATGCTTTTTGACATGTTAGCTTAGCACGGTTATTAAGACAACCAAACGATATGCAGCTTTGATTTTTGTTTTGATACAGTAATGGGAGAGAAGGGTTCAAGATTTCTGGAAAAAGCATCAAATATTTTGTATTGTAAAGATTTCAATTTTCCATCACCATAAACATTTTACCTGCCAATTTTCAAACGACATGCATAGAGTTACAATATGACTGTTACGCACTGACTTGTATTGGGAGAAATTAATCTCCTATTTTAATTTTAATTGGCTCGTTGTAAGCAGTGCCTAACAAAGGACGATACCATATAATCAACAATATTAAAGATACGACCCAAAACAGTTTCTAGTTACAATTAATTAAGATTTATTATGTCTTAAGATAATTACAAAATAAAATAAAATAAAATTACAATCTTCAACTTACAGTATGATAGATCTTGTACCGGTACACAGTTAATACAATTAGAAATAATGATGCCAATAAATAATGCGAAATAAACACATATAAGTAGGAGCACACAAATACAAAAAGAATAAAACACGCCTCGTAATGTTAAGAGAATCTATATGAAAATCTCCGTCCCCCTCGTCGTGCCTGTCCATCCCTTATATAGGTGGGTCTACCGACGCCCAAGCCCTGCCTTCGAGAAATTTCTAGAAAAATCAAAATCATTCTACAAAATACTATTTGCAACAGATTAATTATTTTTATTCGTTGGCGGCGTAAACAAGAATACATCAAAGACCTAAGCCACACCCCTTTGTGAACACAGCGTCTCATGCGGGGTCAATCAGAGGGGACGCACGAGAAATATGATGTAAACAAGCTCTCTATAACAATGACATTAAACGTAAAGGAACATTTTGTCATGCCTCTCTGCTAGACTATAACATTTTACTTCCCCAAGAAAAATACCCGTCGCTTCACAATGATGCAGTATCCTTTTCATCGCATTTACTGAGCTCCTAAATTCGTGACCAGCTATTTTCAAGGATGAAGCAATCGATGAATAAAACTAGAGAACAACGAATAAAACCAGAACCAAAATATCTATGAAATCCTCGAGAACTAAATTGCTATCAAGCAAACCGAATATCGAATCATTGGTGCCTCGAAAACATTGTCAAAGATCTCACTGATTTCATATCGTTGTCTTGTCTTTTACTTTTTATGATGAAAAATTCATGGACAAATTAAAGGAGACATGGGAAAGTCTGAGGGAGAAGAAAATAATCATTCTTTTTAGTTTCTTAATTTTCTTGCCATTTCACACCATGTCACTGATCGTCCCATACATTTTCATATTTCCCTCCACGGGGAATCACACATTTCACATCGAATAGGCGTAATAATATATTTGTCAGTTTGTCTTCATATTGTTACTGTAGGTATCATCAAAATTTGTTTACAAAAAAAAATAAAAAAATGTCCTTTTCCATTATAAACAACAAATGACAATACACCAAATGTTAAAACAATAGTATGCCTTTAGGCATTTATAAACGAATAAATGTAAGATTGATTTCGAAAAGTATTTCGAATTTTTCTGTACTATATAGTTTCTATTCTAACAAGACAGGAATGTTAAAATGTAACAAAATAATTTTAAAAAAAAAAAAAATGAATTGTTTTGCTAAATTTAAAAAATAAAATATATTTTCGAAACGTTTTGTCTTTTGTTTGAAGTTTTTTTAAATC